CAACTATGATGGTAGCCAACGTGCTGGCTTTCCATCTGGACAATGGCCGCCAGCAAGCTGGCTTCCACTGCCTGTTGTCAGCCAGCAAGCTGGATTCCACTGCCTGTTGTCCAAGGCACGTGTTAGTTGTACTACCAAGTCGCCAGTTCTCATCTTCCCGCTCCCCAGCTACTCCGCGCACTACAGTTATATACTACACCGTCGCCAGTTCGCAGCTACTACCCACTCGCCAGTTCTCCTCTTCCCATTTCCCAGCTACTCTCCATACTAAAGTTGTACTACCCAGTCGCCAGTTCTCATCTTCCCAGTCCCCAGCTACTCTGACTCTGCGTACTAAAGTTGTACTACCAGGTCGCCAGTTCTCATCTTCCAGCTCCCCACCTACTCCGCACACTAAGGTTGTACTACACAGTCGCCAGTTCTCAGCTACTACCCACTCACCAGTTCTCATCTTCCCACTCCCCAGCTACTCTGCGTACTACTGTTGTACTACCAAGTCGCCACTTCTCATCTTCCAGCTCCCCCGCGACTCCGCGCACTACTAAAGTTGTACTACACAGTCGCCAGTTCTCAGCTACTACCCACTCACCAGTTCTCATCTTCCCACTCCCCAGCTACTCTGCGTACTACAATTGTACTACCCAGTCGCCACTTGTCATCTTCCAGCTCCCCCGCTACTCCGCGCACTACTAACGTTGTACTACAACATCGCCAGTTCTCAGCTACTCCGCGTACTAAAGTTGTACTACGCAGTCGCCAGTTCTCAGCTTCCAGCTCCACAGATTGCTCCGCGTACTAAAGTTGTACTACAAAGTCACCAGTTCTCAGCTTCCAGCTCCCCAGCAGCTCCGCGTACTACCGTTGTACTACCAAGTCGCCAGTGCTCATCTTCCAGCTCCCCAGATACTCCACGCCCTCCAGTTGTACTACCCACTCGCCAGTTCTCATCTTCCCGCTCCCCAGCTACTCCGCGCACTACTCTCGCACTGCCGCATCGCCAGTTCTCCGCTTCCAGCTCCCCAGCTACTCTGCGTACTAGAGTTGCGTACCAAATCGCACTCTCGCCTGTGTTTCGCGCACTCGACACGCACGATCTCCGCAGAGGGTTGCGCGGGCAGCCGGCAAATCACACTCTCGCCTGCATTTCGCGCACTCGACACGCACGATCTC